GCTGCTTTTAATTTTTGTCGTCCTGCTCGATACGTTTTTCTTTTGTTTGTTCGCTTTATTGGTGCATTTGGTCTCGTTTTGGCCACTTCCCCCTCAGGAAGCTGGCGGTTGTTAGTGTCAGGTGTGTGACCTGTTGGCTTGCAGAAGTGTGATGGTGCTGTGTTTGCCACCTGATTGTCTGGAACTGACAGTGACACTTGGAAAAACAAACGCGCAGGCTGTGACCTCTGGGAAGCTGTGAGCTCGTTGGATTCTTCAGAAGATCTGCTTTCCGAGCAGGGTTCGTCTCCACTTGTCATCCCAACGTCCTTCCTCTTGTCTTGTGTAAGGCAACACGGGGAGCGAGAGGAGAAAGTGGATCAGGGAATCCATTGTGCTTGATAACAACCGCAGATGAAAGCCTGGGTGTAATTGTAAAACAGATGTAATGCCCTTACAGCTGCTTTGCTGGTCAGCTAATCTTTCTGACTAATGTCCCCCCCTTCTCAAACCACATGCACACACTTCATCAGCCCCTACACCTTCATTGCACCCCCTCCCCTCCTCCACCGCAGTGACCCTGCGGCTCATGTTACTAGGTTCATCTCCCCCATCAGAGACCCTCTCTGTTTCCCAAATCCAGGTACCCTGAATTGCTAATTACATGTTGTCACCCTTCATATAAACAACGCAGCATGACACATTGCAATTACAGCCGGGCCTGTCCAGTTGGGAGATGAAAAGAGGGGAAGTGAAATAAATGAGACAAAGGAAGGCCTTTGCTGGCCTTCACAAATGACCGAGGCCTGCGCTGATATAGATCTGACAGTGTTTATTTCTTCCTTAGTTTTATTTTTCCAAGATCCTTTTTGCTCTCTGGCCGTACCTCTGAGTTGACCCTTTCTCCTTTTTCCTTCTCGTCAGTGTGAGCATGTGTTTGTTTTACTTGGCCGGTGACTCTGTGTAAAGCCATGCACAGTTTAACTCACAGCCACCCTGAGGCAGACATGACCTCGCTGCCTTTAAAAGCCCAACGCATGGCTGCATTGTCGGGGTGTGTGGAGGCCCCCTCTTCCACTTCATCTTTATGTCCTGGGGGTGATTTCTGTTGTCAAGCCACCATGTTACCCATTATTCCATCTATACAAGCAGGCATCCATCACTGTCGCCGTCTCATCCATCTAAGTCCACTGACGAACTGGGGAGCCCTCGGAGGCTCTAGAGCCACTCGGGCTCCCTGAATGTAACAGGCCCCTGCACTCATTCTCTATAAACAAACACAGAACCACTCAAGGCTCATGGGGGCCTCTCAGATGACAAACAATTCCTTGCTTTGTAGCAAAAGGGAGGGAAAATACGGCCGTTCGAACTTTTCAGACGTTTGTGGGATCACTCATCACAGGACCCCCTTCATGTGTTCAGTGCCTGTGTCCATGTTGGCTCAACATATTTGTACTTCCTTTTGGGTTATTATTCTGACTCAAACTCTTTAGTTGCAGCGCTGGCCCTTCGGTTGGTCGTGCACCTCTGTGCGTCCATGCTTTTATCGGCTGCTTTAGGAAGGAAGGCTTCGTCAGCCGCCTGCTTCCTGTTGTGTCCAACAACAATCGAACCCCCCCATGTTTGATGGAACAAGGAAGCTCGCTTTCTCCAGACTTTTATTTTTTGTCGAGGAATTCTCCCCTGGTTCCATTTACTATTACCGTAACTCATTTTTGAGGGTAACAAACTTTTGTACAGTTACAACGGAGTATTTGGCTGAAGCTGAGAACTTGTTCACACTGGGACACCGTCTTTCCAAAACAATGTTTTTATTATAAGCTTTTATGAATATCCTGGTAAACATGGCCCCGTTTCTGAAAAGGTTTTCATCCACACAGGAACAAAGAAAATGACCCAAAACATTATAATAAGTTAGTCCTGTATGTGGCACTTTAATCTGTAACGGTGCCACAGAAATCCACCTAAAACCAGGAACAAGGCATGGATGCTCCAAGCTGTAAGCACAAGGCAAAAAAGTTGAGGATTGTGAATATAAGTGCAAAAATCAAATAATTTTACAATGTGGAACTCCCTCTTTATTGTCATATTAAACTACTAGTCGTGTCAGTCAAAACATGTGGACATAACTAATTTAGACACGGTATCCACAAGACACAGCTGGAGGGAGTGTCCTCACTGTCAAATTATGTACATGTATACGGAAGTCCCAATCTTTTAAAACTACTCCAGGTTTCCACATTTTTTAAAACTTACTTGATATGTATTCTTTTGGGGTTTTTTTGTTGCAACATTTGATTTAACATTGGTAACAGTTCAATAAAGTGGTTCAATACATTTTCAGCCTTGCATTATTGATGTAAAAATTGTTTTTTCCTCTACTCTTTATGGCAATGTTACTATTTTTTAGCCTCGTCTCGTCATTGGAGTAATGCAGTGTACAAAGGTTTTGCTGTATTTGAGCATCTGGCATCTGCAACACAAATGCAAGCAAGTAATCTGCCATTATCTTTACATCTGACATGCTTGGGGTCATAGGTTAGGTGGGTCTATAGCATCATTTTCAAAAGATTGCATTTTGGCTGTCTACACTAATGCAAGGGTTCAAGATATTTTTTCTTCACTCTAGACCTCAGTTTAAAAACATACAATTCGGAGGCTCCTAAAACAATGTTTGTGTGTGGAAACCAGGCTAAAATGATAAAAACAAAAACTTTGCATATCCTAAAAATGCTGTTTCCATGTGGACGAGCCTGAAGCTGCACTGGAGGTGCTCCAGGCTGTCCTGTTGGGTGGTGTGCAGTGGAATGCATCTCGATTATAGAGGCAACACATAGTTTTAAGGCCATCATCTCCACAAGCCTGACCATGATGCATTGCAGCCGGCACTGTAACACCAACAGTGTGTGGGGGGGTCATCCTCCTCTGTTCAGTTGCCATGTGGCATTTAAGCTACTCCCATCTGCAATACTTGTGTGTGTGTGTGTGTGTTTTTCCTTTCAGCATTTGAATGGCAGTGCATTCTTCTTGCCTGCTGGTCGGTGGTGAATGGCAATGTTAATGGGTTAGCTGGGAGCCCTTTTAGGGATGACTGGGAGGGGAGAAAGCAAAAAAGCGAGGAATTTGGGGATTACGAGAAGGAGATGTAAGAGAATGAATCGAGGTTTGAGGCAACAGCTGTTCCCTCTTCTCAATGCAGACGTTTGCCCCGATTTGTCCCTTTTTCTCAGTCCTCAGCAGGATACAGTATTCCTCCCTTCTTTTCTTAAACCTTCTGTTCTTTCACCCACCTCTCTTGTGCCTCGCTCGTCTTCTGCCCCATTTATGTTAATGAGTAGCAGTAGTTAAAAGTACAACATCTGGCCAAGAACAAGCAGAGGAGCAAGAGCAGAGTTCCTCTGGCAGAGTGGTTTTTGTTTCCTGCCACCATTGTTGTCCTGCTATTTAGATCCTACACACCTTCCCACATATGCTCTGCATCAGCTCAGTGAACCGCAGTTATATAAAAAGCCAAACAAGGGTTGAAATGAGGCTCGTATTCAATTGAGTAAATCCCCTTGATATGATCTAAATGGGGCTTGTGCTTTCCGTCTTGTGTGGGGTCACTTGTGGCTTCCAAATGAGCTCCGCTCAACTGTCTCGCTGAAAGGCAACTGTAGACCCAGACGGTATCTCCTGAGCGAGTCTGATATTGCCTTTGTCCTTGGCACTGCTTTTCAATTAGCTCTCTTGGAATCTGGCCTTGCAAACCATGTTTGCCTTTGACTGAATGTTTCATTGCAATTTCCCAGACGGCAGCATCGCTGTAATATGAATCACTTTGAATGGCTTGTTTTATTTGGCTAACATCATCTGCTTCTACATGAAGTCATTTTTTTTTTGCCACAGGTTCTTTACTTTAGTGCCTGTTTCTTTTGGTTCCTGTTGCGTTATCTTTCGATGCCCTTTGACCTAACTATTGGAACTTATTTACATTCTCAACATCTTCTAACATCTGTTATGAGCTATTTAAACTCTCCAGGCAAAACAACTTGGAAAGAAAGAATTGTGTGCACATATGTGTGTGTGACAGAGGGACATGAACAGGTGACAGGCAGTCGACATAATCCCCCTCCTCATGTCTGAATACCCATGTGTCCGGGAGTGCTTTGCATGCATGTATGTGTATTTTGTGCATACATGTGGCTGTGTGTGCCTGTGTGCAGTGCATACACAAGCATGTGTGCGTGTGCAATGGTGTGAGGACGAGAGCAGCAGCCACTGGAATGCTGTTGCAGAGTTAAAGGGCAGCCGTCTCATTTTCGCTTTCCTTTATGGCGCTCTCCGAACCAAATTTCACACTGTATTAAGTTCACATTTCACCGTTTCTACACAGCTGGACGGTCTACCTACATTTCTTTATTTAGCGATACTGTAGACGTGTGAAATTAGGCAGCTACTTATCTAGCTGATACAGTTTCAAAGAAGCCACACAAGCGTCTGAAATAAAAGTATACCAGACTATTGAGCACTGACTCATGCCACTCTGGTGCTAGTTAGACATTTTTTTTCTAGTTCAGCATTGAAAACTGGCTTATTGTTGTGGAATGTAGGAATACTGGTTGCGTTTCCTGAGACTGCAACAAAGCAGCAGCAGTGGGGGTTTAGTGGTTGAAAAAGTAAAGAGTAGGAGTACAAGCAAGTCGTGGAGTCTGTGATTTTGTTTCAGGGTTGGGCTCATGTGAGCAGCATTTTATTTGAACTGGACGAAGTTTTAATGAGTAAAGTCAACACTGTGCAGAGGCCTGCGCAGGGTTTTCCTCCCATCTCTCTATCACTTGTCTAAATGTGGTCTTGACATAATAACGTGTCCCCCTTGACCTCTGAGGGTTGCACTGGAAGGTGAAAAGTTCAGACTTTACTGGTCTTTCAAAGACGACCGACTGATCTGAAGGAACTGGCTCTGTTTGGTGTCATTTGGGAAGTCGTTATTGTCTTTGTTTGGCTGATTATTGATCACAAACTTTGTTTTGTCTTTGCAGAATGTCAGCCTGGCTTCTTCAAAGCTGAGATGTCCAGCAGCAACAAGTGTGAGCCGTGTCCTGCCAACACCCAGGGGCTGACACAGGGGGCTTTGTTTTGTCCCTGTGTAAATGGCTTCTACCGGGCCCCCAAGGACCCCGTCACTGGACCGTGTTCAGGTGAAGATGTGCAGAAAATTAAAAAAAAATGTGCAAGAATTTTTAGATTTGTATAAGAAATTAATTTGATTGTTTCTGACCTTTTTATTGCGCAAGAAACCCAACGCCAGGGGCTTCATATCAAGAATGTTTTTGCATGTCTATATTTGTTGGTGTGTGTGTGTGTGTGTGTGTGTGAGTGCACGTTTATCTGTCTGTAACCTCATTGTCTCATAAATCACAAGATGGATTTTAGTGAACCTTTCAGAAAGTAATCATTGGGCGCATATTTACAAGTAATTTAATTCTGGAGTTAACCCAGTTTAAGCTAGTCACTACAGCTAACTGAGCTTAGAAAACACAGAAGTGGCTATAACTCAGTAGGCTTTACAGAAATTGAGTTAAAAATTGGTGTGGAAGTAACTGAGGGTCATATCCAGCAGGTATTCTGAGTGTGACCTCTTGCAGAATTGCACGGGTCACATAATGTCTTCAGGGTTTGAGCAAAACCTCTACAAGTTTTTCATTTCTCAACAGAAGATGATTTCAGTCTAAAGTGCCGAAAAATTTACATTCCTTCAAGAGATGCTAGTTTATTTTAAATAACTTTTTTTATTATTATTATTTAACGAGAACAATCAGCATTTTGTTGCATCTCACACAGCTTTTCTTCTGTCCTCACCAGGCCTCCCCTCTGCCCCTCAAGATCTTGTGGCCACCCCCAGTCTCCTCTCTACGGGAAAGCTCCTCCTCTCCTGGAAGTCTCCTGAAGACACCGGAGGTCGAAACGATATCACCTACAGCGTTGTGTGCCAACGATGCGAGGGCTTCGGGTGCCAACCCTGCGGAGAGAAAATTCGCTTCGACCCAGCCAGCACGGGGCTGACTGACACCAAGGTGTCAGTGAGTGAGCTGGACGCTCATTTCAACTACACCTTCACCGTGGAGACGCTCAGTGGCGTGTCTGTGTTTGGCAGTAGTCAGGCAGCGCCTCGGGCTGCCAGGCTGCCGTCCTCCACCACCCTGACTACGTCTCTGCACTACACAGGTGAGCAGCAATGATAGGAGGCCGGGCTGCGATGCTATCTGCTCTGCTGTAATGACAGATGCTATCTGAGATTCTGTGACGGCTTTGCAAATCAAACTGGCCCACAAGAAGGAGATAAACAAGGGTGTAGCTGCATTTTCCAATGTTTTCCTCTTATTTATCGCCTACAAAAGACAGACCATGATGTTTTTGCGTGGTTGTGCAGCTACCTCTAAGCAAAATACCAGATTTAAAATCAGAGCAGATTTTAATGAAACTCTCAAAGTAATCTGTTGAAGTAGGTATTAACTTTTAGAGTCAGCCAGGGCTTAATTTGAGCCGGATCCTGCCGGAACAGGATCCGGGAACTCTTATTTTGACAGGGTGCGTTCTGGTAACTGTTTGTGTGGATCGGTAATTCTCAGGCTTACTAATAATAAAGCTAAGAGTGAATTAGACTGCCTTGAACGAATAAAACCTATATTGGACATGTAATCTGAAAATAATTACATAAACACTCATTTTAAACACAACATCCACTCACGAGCTTCCTAACAACACATACGAGCTGCCCCTTCAAATAAGCATTTCCACTTCTGCCCTTAAAGAAAATCTCCGCCCCTAAAACTACAGTCGTGGGCAATTTAATTAAAAACGCAAAAATATAATTAAACGGCACAGCTAAATTGCAAATCAGTTTGACAATTTAAGTGGGTCATTAATAATTTTTTTATTATTTATTAATAATATGAGAGAAATGTTTGATGGGTAATCACGTTCGTACATCACGTATTTTAAAAAAAGTGTCATTTTGTCTAAATAACTGCGATGAAAATGTTGAAAAGACTTACTTTCATTAAAAAATAAATAAATCTCATTGTTCAACTAAACAACCAAGAACTGAGGCACATGAAGGCAGTGGCAATGAAAATAGTACTAGAGCAGGTGCAAGGATGCTTGAGAGAAGAGGAGGGACCCCCCCACTCCCCCTCCAGGCATTGTTTAGTTTACAAATTAAGCGCTGGAGTCAACCAAATTAAAGATGGTCGCCACAGTTAATCAACCTCAACAAACATAAACACGGCTGTAATTTTGGCGTATTTGTAGCTGGGACTCGTTCCCAAACGCATATTTTCTGAGCACTAACTGATTGCAGATAATTGCTGTTTAAAACATGTGGACTCAACTCTCCTGTTAGCAAAATATTGCATAAATGACTACACAGACTTTAAGGAAATCTTCAGAAACTAATCACTGGATGTGAATCTAGAACTGATTACAAGACGAGTGCCAGCTAACAGACCTGAGACAGCACAACGATGTTGAGCTGAAGCTTGATGTAGAAACAGAAAGTCGTTCCCAACACTGAGATTCTTGACACGTCGTGTGATCAAGTTTTAAATTATTTTCAAGGTTTTACCAAAACAGCTATGACTGTCATTTCTCAACAAAAAGTGATCTTAAAAAATCAACTCTGGCATAAAAGAAAGTAGATGCTCTGCATTCCTTCAAGTCTTTATTTATGTACCTTTTTTATTGTTTTTCCACATCATAACATTTCAAATGTTCTCTTTGTCCTCAGAACCACCCAAAATCACCTCCATGCGACTGGTTGAACGGGACTCCACCAGTTTGTCCATTTCCTGGGACGTATCTCCCCAGCCACGGGTTCTGGCCCGGCCTGTTCGCTATGAACTCGCTTACCGCAAGAAGGTGAGCACGACTTTTCTATTTCCAGACAGAGCCTCAAATGTTATCACCGGTTTTAGGCATGAGCTGTAGTGATAGTAAAAGAAGCTAAAATAGACATGGACCTTGTAGTTTTGTGTGGTTACATCTGTAGTTCAGATAGTCCTGAGACCTTGATGAGTGTCATCTAGAGAAAGGTGCCACACTTTGTCGTTATCACACAGAAAGCACCAGCTATGCTCCAGTTATACCATTAATTATCAGTATAAACCAGCTGTCTTCAGCAGAAACACTGGATGTATTCTCTTACCTCCCAGGATAACAAACATGACGTGACAACCTATGTTGTGCTCAAACTGGAGAAGAACTCTGTTCAGATTAACGATCTGGCTCCAGACACGGCCTACCTGGTCAAGGTTCAGGCCTTTAGCAGCGACGGTAGGTCTGGAGTCCCCAGCGGGGAGGAACAGTTTGAGACGTCGCCCGAAGGTACGGAATCGAACCACAACAGAAGTAGTTCCTGGGCTCTGTTTTTAGAAGATCTCTCTGATGTAGGGTTTACTTGTCTTGCAGGACAACTGAACAAAACAGCAGTCATCCTCGCTGCATCGGTTGGAGGAGCGATAGTGTTGATCCTGGTGATCGTGATTCTGTTCATGCGCAGACGGTGAGTAGTGGGCCCGCTCTGTTGGCCTTACTTGTCCTGTCTGTTCTGCTAATCTGTCACAGTCTACTTTCCTTCAGTGCCTTCCTGTCTCATTCTTCTGCTTTTCCTTTGTGAGGCCTCCAAATGACCTTTGCATTCACTCTGTCCTCACCCCTCTTTTTCTGTCCTTCTTTAACCAACTGTCTCCTTCTCTTTATCTGGATTTGTGTCCTGGCACTCACCAACGAGGAATTTGTGTTGAATGTGTCTTGTCATTGCGCAATGGTTGCATTCAACTGAGCGTTTGGTGCCTTTGAAAGGAAATTAGCCCAGAGTGGCACATTGTTGTTGATAAGAGGCGTTTGGTTCTTTCTGTACGAGGTCGCGGGCGCTTTGTGAAGTCGACCTGGGCCTGTACTGTAGCAGACTGTAGCCTGTGTAACCTCCTCCTTCTTAGTGTTTAAATTGGCTTGGCAAACAGTCTACAGCCAGGTTTTATCAAAGGGACGCTTCTGTCTGAATGGATGCATTGCACCAGAGTCTGGATGCTTTTGAAAGTGAGAAAAATGGTTACATGGGGTGCTGTGTGCTAGTGATATAAAAGCAGTCAAATGGTTTAAAGACATTTTTTTTTTTAATCGTATTTTGTCTTTTAGATTAAAAAAAAATAGGAGTGAGAATCTATAGGCACCTCACATTTCAATTCTGATGAGATTCTAATTTCAATTCAGAGGGTTGCAATGCACTTATTAAAGTTATTTATGCTTCTTGATTATCACGCTTCAAACAAAATCCAGAGCATTGAATCTCAGACGTACCAAAACTGAAATATTTTGCTCTACACAGCAGCATAAATAAAACCATTTTATGATGATCTTATTACGGTTTTTCTTTTACATTTTATACTTCCGTTAGATATAACTGGGACCCTGTGTACACAATTTAATTCCACCACATATACCACACATGTGGTGCATATGACAAATAAAAAAATCTTTGTCTTTGACATATAGTGTAAAACTATTGCCAAACCTTTCATGCGCATTTGCTCGCTGCATCAACCCCTGAAGAAGAGAGCAGCCGAAAGAAACTTACCGGTACCTACTCTTAAGTTGAGATTTTGGAACATCTAAAAGTATTTTGTTGTATGTTTTTGATAAAGAATGACGTTTTGAGATGTAACCAAACATTAGGAGCTTTAAAAACCAACAATAAAATCCTAAAATCTGTCCTTGTTCCATATAAGGTTCTGTCTCACTGGGCTGGGACTGCTAGAGACTATTTGGCAACAGAAAATTGTGAAAGCGGGTGAATTTTCTGTTTCAGTCTCACTGAGTCCCGAGTGTTTGGGACCAGTGAGCTGGTCGACCACAGTTTGAGAAGCTAGTTTTTTTTAAATCACTCTTTTTTTGTGCGCGCATGGTTTAAACAAATGTAGTCTAGGCTGTGCACATTATTTTGTTGCCCACTCTCGCCCTCATCGTACCCACCTCAACCTTCTTTGTATCCACCTTGTCCGTTGCTTCCACGTTTATGATTTAATCTACTGGAAAGTACTTGAAATGAACATGGGCAGATCTGGACCAGTTTCTTTTGTGAATTCTGGTAAATTTATCGAAGCCAAAGTGTGTCCACTTCCTTTCAGTGCAGAAGATTAGACTCCAGACTTTCTTCTTTTCCGTTTTTCATGAAGTTATTTATGCTAAACGATCATTTATTTTTGATATTTTAAAATTTATTTAGAATTGTTTTTGTCCGCGTCACAGTGCACCGATAACCAACATTCCCCACTCCTAGTGATTTGCTAATGTGTTTGTTTGACTCAGAAATGGCAACTCTCACATCCGGCAAGGACCAGAAGACACTTACTTTTCAAGCTCAGGTATAAAAAAAAACAAGAACGATTCTTTAATCTTGTCTGTTTTCCACTTTATTTATTTTACTGACTTGTTTTCTGATATTTGATGTGGCTTGCAGAGCAATTAAAACCACTGAAGACCTACGTGGATCCGCACACGTATGAGGACCCCAACATAGCTGTCCTCAAGTTTGCCACTGAAATCCACCCAAGCCACATAACCAAACAGAAAGTTATTGGAGCTGGTGAGTGACAACCCTGCTGAGATAATCTGCTGCGAGGCTTAACTCCGAGATGTTGAAAGATCTTTCCAATCCCTCCAAAATTCCCTGTTTATATTGTGCGTTTCCAGCAGCTTAAACAGGCCGGCTGACAGCGGTTGCTCCAGTGAGATTAGCATCTATCTGACTGACGTCTCAAAACAAGTCGAAACATTTTTTTGTTGTGTGGCACCTCTTGGCTGTGGCACCTTTTGTGTTTTGCCTGAAGATGACAGGAAGATTACACAGAAGCAGAAACACGCAAGAATACCGGAGCACCTTATTTGCTCGGGTTTTATTTTTTATTGAAGGTGCGTTCATTCAAGTGCGACCACCTTTACCCTTCCAGCCAAAAGTCTTTGTTTTCGGTCCCCCCAGCTCCCACGACCGTACGCCTTTCTTTTCTTCTCATGCGACAGCTGATTCCCATGCTCCCTCACAACAGGCCGTCAACCGTTTACACAATGTTGCCTCTTTCTGAACGCGGAGCCAGAGCACACCTCTGAGAGCGCCGCTGGCAAAACAGACGCAGAGACTTCCTCGTGTTGCTTTTGTTGCGCTGCCAAGCCCTGCAGCCAAAAACTTAAGACGACACTCGCATTTTGTTTAATATCTGTTCTCCAATTCAACTCACGATGATGATGATGATGCTTTTCCTGCAGGGGAGTTTGGGGAGGTGTACCGGGGCATTCTGAAAGCATCTGGGAAGAAGGAGTTAGCGGTTGCGATCAAGACGTTGAAGCCTGGCTACACGGAGAAGCAGAGGCAGGACTTTCTGAGCGAGGCCTCCATCATGGGCCAGTTCTGCCACCAGAACATTATACGTCTGGAGGGGGTGGTCACCAAATGTAAGAATCTCTGCATTCTTAAAGGCTTTACTATTTAACTTTTGTGCATTTGACTTATAATTTATTCTTTCTTTTTGGTGCAGTTATACATGCAATGATAGTAACTGAATACATGGAGAATGGAGCGCTGGATAGATATCTAAGGGTAAGTTCACCTCATTTGTATTTTATTATTTTGTACTTTAGTTTAAATAATAGTCATTGTTGAAATTTGTTGAAATTTGTAGGTATTTTCCTTCATAAACCATGACTAGTTCAGTTTACCGTATTTCTTAGTTCATATCTTAGATCTTATTACTGTTTTTCTTTACAACTTATACTTTTGTTGGATGTAACTGGGACCCTGTGTACACAATTTCGTTCCACCACATGTACCACATGTGATGCGAATGACGATAAAGAACCTTGACCTTGACTAATCTACTCTTCTGTTGTCCCGGTAGGACCACGACGGCGAGTTCTTGTCATTCCAGCTGGTGGGGATGCTGCACGGCATCGCTGCAGGCATGAAGTACCTCTCTGAAATGAGTTACGTTCACCGAGACCTGGCTGCTCGCAACATCCTGGTGAACACCACCCTGGAGTGTAAAGTGTCTGACTTCGGCCTGTCCCGAGTCCTGGAGGACGAGCCGGAGGGCACGTACACCACAAGCGTGAGTAGATATCAAGCTGTAAGACCGACTTCCGTCTTGCAGCATGTAGTTTTATTATTTTTCTCATCTTCAACTGTTTTTGTTTTTTACAGGGAGGTAAGATTCCCATCCGATGGACAGCACCGGAGGCGATCGCCTACAGGAAGTTCACCTCAGCAAGTGACGTGTGGAGTTTTGGCATCGTCATGTGGGAGGTCATGGCATTTGGTGAAAGGCCGTACTGGGACATGAGTAATCACGAGGTAAGGTTCCATTTTTACATTTTGTGCTCCCACTCCTTTTAGCAAAGCTAGCATAAAGAACAGGATCTAAGTGATCTGATCGTGTGCTTGCAGGTGATGAAAGCTATCAACGAGGCGTTCAGGTTGCCTGCACCCATGGACTGTCCGTCCGCCGTCTACCAGCTGATGCTTCAGTGTTGGCTTCAGGATCGCTCTAAGAGGCCGCGGTTCGGAGACATCGTTAGTCTGTTGGACAAGCTCCTGCGCAGCCCAGACTCACTAAAGACCATCGCAGACTTTGACCCTCGGTAAGATTTATTTTATTTATTTATGTCTTGCAAAGAGCTCATAAAGCAAATTTGTTCTGGTGCTGACCGACTACCGGAGTGTCTGCCACCGTCAATACCCAGTTCTTAAAAACAAACGGGAACCAAAACCCAGAACATTTGAAATTCTGCTACTATGATTACTCCTGTTAGCTTGTTTCACATTCATGTCTGTTAGCAATTTAATTAGACTAAATCTCTAAAAATACACGCTTACAAGGGAAATTTAAAAATATATTCACACTGTTTTGGTAGCAACAAGTCTTTTCTTACATGAATTGGATAAATTATTATAAATTCACTGCTGACAGATGTGAATTAGGAGTCGGGACCTAAAAAAAAGACACATTTTACTTTTAAATTTCCCATTTTATGCCAAAATCCTCCTAAAATATACAATTTTAAGTCAATAATCTAAATCTTTCATGACTAAGTTTTACACTCAGTGCTAATAAAAGAAGTTTTGTCTGCTGACATACATCAACTTTATTTTTCATAAAAGACATTTAACAGAAAGCAGTTTACAGTGTTTGATGCTAACGTGGTGACTTGACTCTTCTCTCCTCATTTTCAACTTCTTCATCTTTGGGTTTGTTTAAAATGTTTTGGGAGTCAACTTTTCTCGTAACGGATGCAAACTTTGACCTGGATTCATGCAAAAGACAAACATTAGTTCTGATGAACTTATTCTTATTTTAGTCCTTGCATGTTTGGAGTTAGGGAAGACAAAAGGGTGACTGCAGTCAACACAGTCACAAAAAAGGAGGTGTCAACTTGGCGTTAAGCGTTTTTTGTTTGTGATTGTGTGAATGAATACCTTATTTTTCCTTCTGTGAGAAAGGACAAAAAGGTATGTTCACGTCTCATCAGGTCTCACTCTGACTCTCTCGACTGGTTTTACCACCAACTGGTTTCCTGCTCTGTAATTACAAACCTTGGTTGTCTGTTTTGGTTGTGGGAAAACCTGCTGATTATTATCTCTTATTATTATTATTTTTATTGCCAGTGTTTCCATCCGCCTGCCCAGCACCAGCGGTTCGGACGGCTCTCCCTTCAGGTCGGTGTCTGAGTGGCTGGAGTCCATCAAGATGAGCCAGTACAGCGAGAACTTCACCCGGGCTGGGATCTGCACCATGGACCAGGTCCTGCAGATGAAGAGCGAGTAAGTTGTCAGCTTTTGTGCAATGAATGAGTGTGCAGTGAACAATGAAACAAAGTGTTACTTATACAGCTGCATAATTTGGCGAAGGATCAAACCAGTTTGTGTCAGAGCAGCTTTTGAATTTAAAGCGACATTTTGCACAGTGACAGGTGGAGTCTGTTGTAGTTTATTTACATTTTCTTAGGATTAAAACTTTTTACATGCCGTTGAATAGTTTTTCTACAAAGTCATGGATAAGAAAAAAATGTTTTAAACTTGTGTGTTTGTACTGTTAGCAAAATATCTCATGAACTACTGGACAGATTTCAGTGAAAATCTCTGGAGGTACCGGTAATTATTGAATGCACATGTAAAATTGAAGTCAGTGCAATTCAAGATGGCCGCCCCAGCTAATCAACCTCAGCCAACGCAAACATGGCTCTACCTCAAAGAACTGTATAGATATCGAGCTAAGATGTGGTGTGGTTGTAGCTGACAGATCATGTGAGATATTATACTGCAGCATGAGTTTGCACATAAAAATATTTTCAGTGTTTGGCCAAAATGTCTGGAACTCAATAACTTCTCAACTTTAGTTAATTTTAGTCTAAAGCTCTGGCATGAAAGGAGGTGGGCAGGGCTGGGCGATATGGACCAAAATTAATATCTCGATATTTTTAAGATGAATGGCGATATACGATATATATCTCAATATTTTTTCTTTCCATAAAGTAATAAAAATATATTTCTGAATCAAAGCTTAGTCCCAATTATCACACAGGCACCTTTACTAACAAACAACTGCAACTGTACAAAATAAATGTCTCAAAATTAAAATAAAAGTAAAAAAAAAAACAAATATACAGCTGTGTACTCAAAATTTTAACAGAAAACACACAGAGCAAACATAATGAAAGACTGACTTGCTCTTTAAAAAGTATCATTCTAATGAATTATATTCATTCAACCTTTATTAACAAAGCTGTTAGAAAGTCCACATTGTTGTGTAGTTGGCTCGTTTACTGAGCTCGGTTCTGTTTGGCTGCAGCTTGTTTCTTTCTGAATTTCATGGTTTCCATGCTCTTGAATGCAACGTGGCTGTTCTGATGCTAGTGAACGCACCGCTCTGTGTAAATTGGCGTGCTGCGTGCGTTACTGCTGTGTGTAAATACCAGAAGAAATGGCAAATAAATCACCCCAAGCTGGATATCTGTCTCTTTGTTTTCTAATGAGAAGACAACTTCATACATTGCCACTCCAGGGCCCTATTTACACGGACACAGCAGGGGAAAACGTAGGTTTTTAAAAAATTTTTCAGATTTTAATTAGAGGAAAACATCCACATTGACACGAACGGATTTTATGTTTACATGCATCCCCAGGAATCCCCCGAGTCCGCTGTAGTTACCATGCCGGGTCATTAGTTGGCGCTGTGACTTTTGTACATTCACCTAATACGCATGCATGCTGCCTCGGACCGCTCTCTGTAATCCTCTGGATTGAATGCCCAGCTAACAACTTAACAAGTTTAAGCTGGATGTGGCTAAGAGGCGACAGACTTGACGCCGAGGCAAGCGGGACCGCTTCATCTAACTGCTCCACATGGATCGCTGAGCGGACCAGAATTGACGATGATGATGTCGGAGTTTCTACTCCGTGATAATCAGTAGCTGATTTACAGCAGCGTTCTTAATAATGTTAGCTTCTGTTTACTTCGATTACACAACAACCAACTTAGTTTTTATTGTAGTTTTTCCTGTGAGGAGAAGCTGTCCTCCCACCAGCGGTGGACCGGTTCTGAACGAGCCTCAGCCCGGGTGCAGTGCAGGAGGACGTCGAAGAGAGAGATGTCATGTCGGACAAACTATTTATTTAAAATTCCCCTCAGTTCTTTTTTCCAGTCCATTCAACATTTTAAGCTACACTAAGCGAAGGAGTGACAGCCTGTACAAGCCAGATAAACAACATGGCGTCAGTATCCAGGATGACAACAGAAGCGTACAGTTCATTAATGTAGTTTACAGTTCAGTTAACGTGTTTTAATAGTGCATTCAGTTTAATGATCAGTGTTTGTGGTGTTGAATAAATAAATAAAAATTAAACCTGATGTCTTCATTTTCAAATTTAATAACACGCAACATGTTTCACATCGTTTAAATCGCATAACTTGAATTACATAATGTCCAGCTATTTTCATTTAGCATAGCTTCATTGTATCTCCTATCACTTACAGAAATACTGTTTATTATTATTAAACTGTTGTTATTTAGCACATTTTGTATGTTGTAGTGCAGCGCGACGCATGAAATATCCACCTGCCTCGTTCAATAAATAGTGATATTAGAACTGGATCTGACTGGCGTCTCTTCCCAACACAGATGTCGGTCACAGTAGCTACACTCCTGCGTAGATTAACTACGAGACTCTAAATATATTCCATCAGTTATAGCTCAGAAAAGCAGTATGTTCTACTCCGCTGCCATTGTTGATAGAAATATGCTGTCGGTCCACGCGTGCGTGAAATATACGTCTGTTGTGCGCATGTGCTTTAACCTCTCTGCGGGAAATGTGTGCATTATCAGCGGGAGGCCTCCCAAAAACCTCCACTCTGTGAGGTGGGTTGAGAAACCTTCAGATTCAAAGAGGGGGGTCTACTAGTGTCGTGTAAATGAACAGGTCCGGTTTTACTTAAAATACATGTCGTGTAAACGCCCCCTAAACCAGTTAATTTCCTGGAGAACACCAAACCTCCTTTGTAGCAGCTACCCAGTCATTTTCACACCTATCAGGAATTTACATCCATGTCACCGGAGCGTCTCCACTGTGGGTCAACAAAGACCTATTGTGACGATTGATATCTGCATCCAGCTTGTTCACAGTCAGAGCTGCAGCAGCGTTTTACACAGCAGGAGGCGGGGGGAGTGGCGGAGGGGCCGCGTGAAGGCGCAGACTGGGAGAAAAACTCAAGTATAATTAGAACTACATAGAGTATGAGACTATATCGTTTTATATCGATATAGTCTCATTTTAAATTTATATTGCACATGAAATTATCTCGATATTTTAAAAATATCAAGATATCGCCCAACCCTAGTGGTGGGTGATATGCATTTCTTCAAGGAAGGCAAATCCTTTAATTTAATTCCTTTTTTTTTTTGTCCCATCTACACACGTGCACACACGTGCGCAAGCATTTCTGCTTGAGCCGCAAAACAAAAAGTTTCATCTGTTTCAGAAAAAGAGTTTTGTTGTTGCTGCTTCAACGATAACCACAAAAGGAGAGACTCTCCTGTCTGCGCTTGAAGAAATGAAGGGCCTGAAATAGATGGACATCATTATAAGTTCTAAAAGATAGAAGAAGTGTTTAGCATGCACCCCCCTGAAGACATCAAAAAGGTAGTTTAAGACAATTACATCTTCCATGATGTGTAGGAGAGCTGCAGGAGGCAATTTAACCAAACACACTGAACCTTCGGGGGGGGAAACACGCCTTTGTGAAGCTCATAATTTAAGGTTACTTTTGAGGAATAGGAACATTTTCTAACCACACATGACCAGCCGAGGAGGAGCTCCACCTAACTTTGTCATTGTATACGTCTGTGAAGATGAGCACCTTTTTAAGGCCGAGGGAAACTCTTTTTGAAGTGTTTGTCGTACAGTATGGTGAGATTTCAGGGCCCCATGTTTCCATCTCAGGGCATCTGGTAGCACTCTCTGAAAAACCACCAGCCATTTACGATCCACCCTCTGCTCGCCAGACAAGTGATTCATGGTCAACAGGGAGAATCCTCGTTAAGCAATTAAGGCTGTAATTAAGGCTTTGACTGAGGGCTGGTGTTTATGCACGGCTTTTGCAGGTTTGCATCACATGCTGATCCAGAATAAATTTTTTTTAAAAAAAAGCCTTGTAATACGTTTTCTTGTTGAAGGTGAATAAAAAACTTAAGAACTTGGAATGCGCCCCGCCTCGCTGAGCAGGTTGCAGCTCCGGGCTGCTGTTTCATCACACGGAATGAGTCAGTGATTGCTTCAAGGCAGGAAGGATGCATGTGGAAAGGGTTTGGACTGAGTCCAGAGTAAAAAAAAAAAAAAATGTTGTGTCTCTTTTACAGGGATATTAAGAACATCGGAGTGAGGCTGCCCGGCCATCTGAAGCGAATAGCTTACAGCATCTTGGGCTTGAAGGACCAGACGAGCACCCTGAGCGTGTTTGCAGTGTGATCCTCACCACGAAGGGAACTGGAACTGCAGCAGGTGGACTCTATAAACTCTTACGCTGAGCGGGAGCGGGACGGCAGGGACGGCTTTGGATCGACGGAACCAAGAGAAACGTGCCGTCCTTTGGGCCAAATGAATCAGACTAACTTACTGTACATTGTTTGATTTCTATTTTTATCAGGGAATGGAGCAAATATGATAGACGTTTACTATTTAAATATCTATTTTTTTAACTGTACTTTCCATACGAGATGCAGTTTATTGCATTTTTGTCCATTTTTCAAACAAACAGTCCACTCCAGCCTTTACAAAACGAGGAGAGGAGCTATATAAATATCATAAATAGCAAATCATGGTTCAGTTCGTTGGTGCTGATGTCAAAAAATGTCTTCGTTAAATGGCGCTTGGCTCCATTTCCTGTCAGGACGGAGCACGGGGGAGCTGAAACGAGCTTGAGCTCATCCAGAAGCGAATAAAAAGATAAAACTGGACGTTTCTGGCCTCCTGCTGGCTCTGAGCAGAAATTAAGCTATGATCTTATGAGTGATGTTCATATGAGGGGGTGAACGGAGGTACTCTGTGTGCAAATTCACTTTTTTATTTCTTGCTTGTGTTTTGCTGGTTACCAAAAAAAACAACTAACAAACACTGAGATAAAAAAGTTTTGTAGTGTAGCACTTGGATCAAAAATCTTTTTTTTTTTTTTTTTGAGAATTTCAAGCTAAAGATGACTCAAAGTCTGGATCTTCAGGATTTGGGTAAATTCATTGTTTTGGTTTGAGATTTTTACATTTGTTAAAAATAAAGAGGGGAAAATGCACATAAACCCCCAGAAATACAAAAAACAAATAAATAAAATGTTCTAATAATTCTCTGGTTTCTATTTCAACTTCTCATTTGCTGTTAATTTTTCCCTCAAGCTTTATGAATATTTAGTCTGCTTGGGTTAATCACAAGTTTAAGCTGATGCTTTAAATATGAAGGGCTCGACTCATTTGGGGCATTTAAACATGTTTTGAAGTGCCTTTGAGCCAGATTCTGCCTCAGCCTCTTTAAACACACCCCCCCCCCCGCTCTCATCGATGACTGCAAACCTTCGTGTTACTGATGAACACCTTCTTGTACTTGAATTTTTATTGTTAAATGTTTCAATCTGTTGTAGCTGAGAGACCCAACTTATGAAAAGGGATTTATATTTTTTGTTATTCTGGTTTCTTGGTTGGAGTTTCATTTTGTACATTTTGTATTATTATGAATATTCTGTCATTGTCTCGCTTCTTTAAACTTTCTTGATCGTAAGCGCAAATTCTTTTCTTTTTGCCTTCTGTATTTAATAGTCTATTTATTTTTTGAACTTTTATTTATTTATCCTGATAAACACTGAGCTGGTTTTAGACTTGGAGGTTGCTCACGAATTGTCAACAGAACAAAAAAAGAAAAAGAAGCAATTTTCCTCTTTATTTCTCCTGATCTGTTCTTTCCTGAGATTGCATTTGTGGCTAAATAAAAGTCTTAAACTGAATTTGAACCGACGACAAACCCTTTTTGTGTGAGTTTTCTTTCATAGATCCAGGATGTTTATATCCACCTGGATTTGCTTGTAATCAGGCCGAGCGGCTTTAATTCCACAGTTGGAACCTGAAGTAAACGAGCGTTTCCTAACGTCCTGGAAACTAATGTCCATGCAAGAAAACACAAACACACAAACAAACTTCCCCTGTCTGCAGCTATTTGTATTTTAAAAGATTAAACCATGAAATTCAAATAAAGTAGAAAGTCTCAAGTGGAACCCTCATTGTTTATAGTAATTAAGATTTGACCGTATTCTGTGAGCGGCGCCTTTTAAAAACAAATTTAATGTTTTAGTCATCTGTTGCTTCTGAAGGTAAGGTGCAACCTTTCCTTTTACCACCTCTTTGTACTTTCAATTCAGTTCAGTTTATTTAAATAGCACCAAATCACAACAAAGTTAGCTCAGGGCACTTTACAGAATCATTCACTTACATTGAAAAGCCAATTAGTAAAGTTCTCTAAGGAATCCAGCAGACAAGTTCAGTCTTGGCTTTGTTGCAGTCTCCCATCCTGAGCAAGCACAGTGGCAACAGTGGAAAGGAAAAACTCCCTTTTAAAAGGAAGAAACCTCCATCAGAACCAGGCTCAGGACAAGCGGCCATCTGCGTTGACCGACTGGTTTGAGAGGACAGGAAGGAGAGACAGACGAACATAGAATGGTAGGTCCAGGTATGGGTCCAGGTGTATCTGAAAGACAAAAAAAAACACACATGTTAAGGATAGAAAAAATAATTACAAATACAAAACAGGTTGAGCAGAGTAAGTGAAGACAGTAGCAGAGTGAAAAGTGTGGTCAGATTGTCCTCCAGCAGTCTAAGTCTAATGGCATAACTAAGGGAAAGTTCAGGAAACCCAAGCCTAACTATAGGATTTATCAAAAAGGAAAGTCTTAAGCCTAGTTTTAAAACTGGACAATGTGTCAGCCTCACGGACAGAAACTGGAAGTTGGTTCCACAAGAGAGGAGCCTGACAACTGAAGGATCTGCCTCCCATTCTGTTTTTGGAAACTCTACGAACCGCGAGTAAACCTGCAGCCTGAGAGAAAAGTGCTCTGTTAGGAAACTATGAAACAATAAGATCTGTAATATAAGATGGAGCTAGGTTGTTGAGAGCTTTGTTGGTTAGAAGTAGGATTTTGAATTCTATTCTGGACTTGATAGGGAGCCAATGGAGAGAAGCTAAAACTGGAGAAATATGATCTCTCCCACTAACTCCAGTTAAGACTCTGGCAGCAGCATTTTGGATCAACTGAAGACGTTTTAAAGACGTATTTGGACATCCAGATAATAAAACATTGTAATAGTCCAGTCTAGACGTGACAAATGCATGAACCAGTTTTTCTGCATCATTTTTAGATCAGATGTTTCTAATTTTAGTGATATTACGCAGGTGGAAGAAGGCAGTTCTAGTAACGTTTTTAATGTGGGGGATAAAAGACATGTCCTGATCAAAAACAACACCAAGATTTTTAACATTAGAGCTGGAGGCCAGATTAATGTCATCCAAGGAGGGAGAAAGACTGAAACATTCATTCCTCAGATGTTCAAGTCCAAAAACCAAAACCTCAGTCTTGTCTGTGTTCAACAGGAGAAAATTAAGGGTCATCCAGGTTTTTACGTCTGTTTAGGTTTTTATGACATTGTAGGCTGTCATGACACAACGGCTATAACATTTCTGCAGAAATGACCATGTCATGTAAAACTGAAGGCGGTGTAAAAGTTTAAACGATGGCGTTTTCATCAGCTGCTTTGAAATTCTTGAGATTGAAGCTGTTTTCTGATGATTACTGTAATCTGGTTCTCATTTGTACTGGCCTTTAGCTCACCAGTTTGGTCAGAATTAAACCCAGTTTTAGCAAAATGCGGCGATCAGGTGAGATGTTATTGCCCAGAACTCTTGTAAAAGGTCTGACTTGTTGCGTTAGGAATGACACTGAAGTGGGTCAGTGAGTCGTTACGGTTAAAAGTGAAGCAGGATTTCAGAGACAGTCACTCGTGACAGAAAAGTTTTTAGGTGAGCCACAAACGATGATAACGGAGCATATTTTAGAAAAAGCTTCTTTGTTCCTCGCTTTAAAAGTTCTCTCATGCAATCAGAGATTCCTTCAGTCTTTTAAACGAAGTGATCCAAACGATCTGATTAAACTTTGGGCTTGTTTCCACGCCGCCTGACTTCTCCTACTCCAGAATCCTGGTTCTTATCCTGTCAGCGTTAATTTAAAACCATAACCAGGCTTTACAACCGCTTTGCTAAATAAAAGATGTGAAAATCTGAGGAAGTACAAATAAACTTATTTGGAACATTTCAGTAGTAAGTCCTGCGTTAAACAAGAATTATAAAGGGCGTTGCTAAAGGTAAGAGTGACTCATAGGTGATGATGAGTCACTCTCAGTAATAAATTTATTGTGAATGTTTATGAAGCATATTGTGATCCATTCTTCCTCCATACGTTTTTCGGCATCTTTCTCATTCCACAATTTTTAAGCTGTTTTAACAAATCATAAATCAAAATGTTCAGCTCTTTTTTTTTTTTACATTTATTTTTTAGGATAAAAAACAACAACATTGGAGATTAAAAAAAACTTTTTTTCAAAGGAGTCCTGGCCAAGAGGCAGCAACAAACACAACCCAAAAAATTACACAGTTAAAATAAAATGCTATAAAAAAAAAAAAAAAAAAACAAAACCTGGGTACATTGAATTGAATTGGCCCGAATAACTTTTAGTTTTGATGTAAAAGCACTGAATGAGATGAGTTCTGTCAATTGCAGAGATTCTTGTAGCAAGTTCCAAGAAGAGTGAACGAAAGCCTTCTTACCCACTTCAGCCGTTCAGGACAATCCTGCTGTGATTTTAGTATTGGTGCAACTTTAGCTTTTTGAAATATTTAGCCTTTTCTGACATTTTCTTCCTCATAGAAAATGAATTGAGCTCATTTTCCATCCTTCAAATCTTTAGATCTGTTTACAACCTTTTACTGCTCCTTTCACATTCTGCTCTGGTTCAGCTTCTTTCAGCTTCCTGGTGCAAATTAAAACAAAAAAATCAACTAATTTCAGCTGTTTTTCAGCTGTTTGGTACTCCTTTCAGCTTTATTCTGATAACTACAACATTTTTGTGCTTCTTCTAACGTTGTTCTGCTAATTTCAGCTTGTTATGCTCCTTTCTGCTTATTTCTGCAAGTTTCAGCTTTTTCTGCTACTTCAGCTACTGTTTAGCTCTTTCATGCTAATTTGAGCTTTTTCATCTGATTCCAGATTTTTGCACTCATTTAAACTATTTTCAGGCTAATTCAGCAAAATTATGCTCTCTCCACTGGAAATTTTAGCTTATTTCTGCTTTTTTAGCTACTATTCAGCTATTTTGTCCTAATTTCTGCTTTGGTTCAGATAATTTCCTTCTATGCGCTTATTTATGCTTCTTTAAGCCTAGTTGGACACAAATGTGCTCTCTCCCTTATGGTAATTTAAGCTTCTTTCGGCCTTTTTTTTTTTTTTTTTAGCTACAATTCAGCTGTTTGTTTTTTTAAAACAAATTTCTGCTTTGTTTCAGATAATTTCCAATTTTTTATTCTCCTTAACTCTTCTTTCAGCCTAATTGGACACAACTGTGCTTTGACCACGTTCTTCTGGTAATTTAAACTTCCTTCTACCATTTCAGTGACTTTTCAGCAATTTATTGCTCATTTCAGCCCTTTTTTTTTTTTTTTTAGCTATTTTACTATTTTTGTGCTCATTTCTGCGTATTTAAACCCAATTCAGCAAATTTGTGTTCTTTCTGCTTTCCTCTGCTAACTTAGGCTTGTTCTTCCATTTCAGCTATATTTCAGCATGTTTTTAGCTAATTTCAGCTGTTTTTCAGCAAGTTCTTCAGTAATAAGCATTCACACTGCGTTTTCGCAGGAAACGCAATTTATCTAGTTAATCAGAAGATTCTCATGTGCTTCTTGCCAGAACAGCGCCATTGTTTGTTACCCACCACTCAAAGGTGATGGTGGACGGCCATGTTTATACTCATGTCTCTGTGAGTGTGTGTGTGTGTGTGTGTGTGTGTGTGTGTTCTGGCTTAGATAGATCCTAGATTACTTATTTTGAAGCCAAAAAATGTTTAACTCAGCCAATTTTACAGATATTGACTTAAAGTTTAGTATGCTATTAGCCGAGACTGATCTCCAACACATATCCTAAAGACTAATAGATTGAGCAAGATCTTAGCCTTAGATTTGCTATGTCAATGC